TTATATATATATATATATATATATATATATATATATATATATATATATTATATATATATATATAAATATATATAATATATATATATATATATATATATATATATATAATATAAGAATACTCTCTTTTATATATGTATAATGTATGTATGTATGTATTATAATATCTTCTCTCTTAGTATATATGTATACTATAAGTATACTTCTCTCTTATATATGTATATACTCCTCTTTATATATGTATACTCTCTCTTATATAAGTAATATATTAGATACACTCTCTTATATATGTATAATATATGTGTATATGATATATATATATACTAATATACTCTCTCTCTTAGTATATATGTATATATAAGTATACTCTCTCTTATATATGTATACTCCCTATTATATAAGTATACTCTTTTATATATGTGTGTGTGTATACTCTCTCTCTTAGTATATAAGTATGGTATATTACAACGGTTACTTCCCCATTGGCCCAACGAGCAACGGCTACAGGGTTACTTATGCGATTCTCTCTCTCTCTTAAATTATAACTTATAAATATATACAATATATTTACATATAATATATGTATATATAATATATAGTTACATAATAATTTAGAAGTATATACTAATACATAATTATATAAAATATAATAATATTAAACTAATTTTTAGCATTTTTTATCAAAAAAAAAAAGAAAAGAAATTTAAAAAAACCTAGGTGGGATGTACTTATCTATTGTGATGCGATGAATTCCAAAATAAATTTATACTTGTAATTTGTAAATGATTTATTAATTATTAATAAAGAATTTATTTTTATAATTTTTTATTTGTAATTTATGTCATTTTAAGTGATTAATAAAATTATTATTTTTTTATTATTTTTTTGTCTTTTTTTATAATTTAAAACTTAAATCGGACCCGGCCCGGGGTACCCGGGTCCGGGCTCCGGTTTTGCCCGGCCCGGATGGACAGGCCTAGTGTTAAGTACATTAAGCTCAATATCATATACACACACGTATTTGGTTTCTATGTATATATATAGTTATATATATACATACATGTGTTTTGAGTTTTTATGACCATATATCTGAAATTATATATTTCATATCTTCTATTGTGTTTTTGAAAACATTGCATAGAATATGCAATTTTATGAAAATACTGTCTTATTAGTTTGTAGACTTCAATATCAGTTTATACATGTTTTACTAAGTCTATAAAAACATTTTACAAAGTTTCAAAAGTTGGTTTATGTCAAAACATCAAAATTCAAGTATCTCATATTTTCATGTTTTGGACTATTTTGTAAAATGATGATATTTTTCATTTGGGAGGTCCTTTCTGAAAACCAATCGCTATAGTATGTTTATTATCATGTCTACAATCATTCCCCAAAGTTTTACATTTTTGGGAATTTATTTGATATTTTTAAACAACGTTTTAAAATCAGCAAATAAGTTTTCTGCATATCAGTTTTCGGTCGACCGATCCGGTCGACCGCTCAAGTTCTTTTTCATCACTGGGCGACAGAGAGTCTGTCTAATTAACAAGAGAATGGTTTAAAAGATTTTAACAAGGGTTTAAACTTGTTTAGTGTTTGTTTAAGTTTGTTTTAAGAAGCTTTTAAGCATTTGAGTGTTTCGGTTTTGTGATTCAATTCTACAAGAGCTTGAGGAGATCATCTATTGGTGTTTGGGCATTCAACTATTCTCCCTCCAACTCTTGATATATTGAGAAGTTTTCTAAACTCTATTTCTAGCTATTTTATATATTTGATTATCATTGTTATGTAGCTAGAACTACATTGAGTTTAGTTTTTGATTTATATCTCTTTGTTCACACACAACCTTTTGAGCTTATTGTATTTACATTCATAGTATAATTTGGGGTTGTGGGTTTGTGACTAAGAATTGTGCTTAATTGAGTTCTCACCTTGTTTTGAGAACAATCATTTGCTATATTTGTGCTTATTGTGAGAATCACTTTGTAATACACTTGTACACCGAGTGAGGAGTGTGTGGTGAGAGTCGGGGATCGTCCCAAGAGGAGTGGCGTCGGTTGACGTGCCTAGAGAGAGGTTGTAACCGAGCACTTGAGGGAGACACGGCTAGGTCCAACACTTAGTGGGTGTAGAGTGTGATTGCATAATGTTTGTTGTGTGAGAGTTTTCTGTGAACTTGTAAACCGAGTGTGTAGAAGAAGTTCTGGCTTCCAAACCGGATTGTGTTAGTGGATTTCTCCCCGGGAGTGGGGAGCGGAGACGTAGGACGGAAGGTCCGAACTCCGTGATCATATTGCTTGTTTGAGTGTGCTTTAGCGTTCATTCATATTTATGTTCATATCTTATATCACCATTGTGCATTGCTCATTTCTATATCATGCACTATCTTATCTAGATTGTTTATCCTTGTGTAGTTTATATATCCTTACATATATATATATTCATCATATAGGATATATCTCTTTGTTGTTCATATTGCTTATCCTAGCTTACATATCTTGTTATATTTCACTCTTGTTAGGATAACTTGTTAATAAGTTTTAATTGGCATTTAATCGGATTAGATTAGCATAAGACCCTAATCACCCCCCCTCTAGGTGCTAACATGTGGATGATGTGCTCATCATAGGGAGTGATTTGGAGATTGTAATATCTACTAAGAAATTTCTTTCAACACAGTTCAGTATGAAGGACCTTGGAACAGCGGACGTGATTCTCGGAATCAAAATTATATACTCTGAAGAGGGTATTGGATTGTCCCAATCTCATTATGTCGAGAGCATGCTAAGGAAGTATGGCTACTATGACCTGCCAGAACTGTCAGTGCCATATGATTACAACAAGAAGCTTCGACCGAACACTAAAAGACCAGTAGAGCAGCTGAGGTACTCAAAGATCATTGGGAGTCTTATGTACGCGATGAGCTGCACAAGGCCAGATATAGCATTCGTTGTAGGAATGCTTAGTAGATTCACAAGTAATCCTGGAAAGCTTTATAGGGATGTTGTCCAGAGATTGATGAGATACTTGAAAGGAACTACAGGTTTGGGCCTATTCTACACTGGATATCCGGGTGTAATCGAAGGCTATTCAGATGCGAGCTAGTGCTCAGAACCAGATGAGTGCAGATCTACTGGAGGATTTGTCTTCACCATGGGTGGAGCTGTCGTCTCGTGAAAGTCTAAGAAGCAGTCCATGATTGCACAGTCATCGATGGAATCTGAATTCTTCGCACTCTGTGTTGCAGGAGATGAATCTGAGTAGCTCAGTTGTATTCTCCGAGACCTTTCATTAACGGAATTACAAGGTGCAATTACTATCTATTGTGATAATCAGGCGGCGAGTGCTGTGACAACAAACTCGATGTTCAATGGAAAAAAGCGGACCATTCATCTGAAGCATGGCTATTTGAGAGAGCTTATTTGTTAAGGAGTCATCTCTGTGATTGACGTCCGATCTTCACAGAATGTGGCTGATCCTTTGACTAAGGGTCTGAAAAAGGACATAGTCGAAAGGACGTCTGCTGGAAAGGGTTTCAAATTTTTGTAAGTCTTACAAATACTTACCATGTTTATTAAATTATTAGTTTAAAGCTTATGCTACTAATAATAAGATAATTGGTTCAAAAGTCAAGTAAGATTTACAAAAGTTGGTAGTCTTACAAATACTTACCATTTACATCAAGTTATTAGTTCAAAGGTTATGCTACTAATGACAAGATAAATGGTTCAAAAGTCAAGTAAAATTTACAAGTGAAAGGGTTCAAGTTTTCTTGGATTAGTCAGTGTCTAAGGCAAAGTTTGGGGGTTGCGTAACGCGCTCCGCAAGGAACAATGTACTTAATTGATCTTTGATCAACCTCTAATACTATCCTTACCTGGTTGAACTACCCGAGTAAAACTTTGATTTTTTCACTTAGAATCCTATCATGTAAAGGGGATGGCTGTTAAGCCTTAATGAGTCCAAAGCATTTCGGATGCGGGGTGTTAGATATGAAACACACCTAAAGCACTCACCTAGAATCCTATAATGAGAGAGGATGACTTTTAAGCCTTAATGAGTTCAAAATATTTTGGATGCGGGATGTTTGATAGGAAACATGCCTAAAGAACTCACCAATGCATGGGTGAAGATTTGGCCGTCTCCTATGGTGTCTTGTGGAAAAATACCTAGAACCCTAGCAGAAACCAGGACATACACAGGGCCATAAATGTGCAAAGACAAAAGCAAGGCAAAGGTAAAGGTAAATGCAAGTGTGGTTCAAAGTGAAAACTACAATAGATAAGTTTGATCTTGTGTGATCGCTGGATTTTTAGACATATGCTGGTTCAAGTCTCTGCGACACCATACATCTATCTTTTATTCAGTTTGTCTAAGGGGGATTCAAGTCCTTGCGATATCTACCTTATGCACAACGATTGAATCGACGACACCATTACACACTACTAGTTTTTTAAAAAAAATTGTGAGGGATTGTTGGATATTAATTTTTAATCAAAAAAACCACACATGGGCTGCTACCTAAAATTAGGCTGCCAAATTTTTGTTAAAATTAACATAAAGTGGTGGGCCCCACTAAAGATTTAACCACACATGGGCTGTATTATTCCAGATTTAACCACAGGCGCCAACATGTTATTCGATTCTTATATTTTCCGGCATTACATGCACCTCATCATTACCGTTAATTGTCTTCCAGTACTTTTTGAAAAGATGAGAGGATCAAAATTTTGACTAGAAGAGAGAGTGACTTATTTATGCATATATGTCTTAGGGTAGAAGGACCTGCTTGGTCTGCAGCTGGGCATCAGGGAAAATAAGATGTCCCTCACCTAGGAATTAAGGACCGTTTTAGAACCTTAATCGTCGATAGTGCTGAACAAAGAATCTATTTTAACTCTTAGCTTCCTTTCATCTGCGAGTAGGACTCTAGTGCTAATGCGAGCAAAACGAGAAAGGTACGCGGTAAGGAAACTAGAACACTGGAATTAGAAATCGAGATCAGAATTTATACCACCTTTAATTTATTGGCTTTGTTTAACTAGGCCAGGGAGAGCAAACATACATATATAGCTATGCGTACATTCAACCCTTGTTCCTTTTGGGTAAAATATTTGGCTCATCTTTTCCCTCCTTCTCTACTACACAAATCATTCATCCTCATATATTACATGTCCACAAATGCATTAATGGTAACTAATTAATGTTCCCGGCGTACGTGCATACAAGCAGAGCGATGGAGAAGCGTCGGATTCCATTTGGGAGCTTGCTTACTTGCTGCCAGGGATAAAGGTGCCGACATAGCCGAAACCCATCACAAAGAATGAGATGGCTAAAGGATAGATGTATATGAAGTAGTGATCTGCTCCGAAGGCAAAGTCATATGATGCGCATATTAGAAGGAAGACTCCGACCATAATCTCCGTGAAATGGAACCTGATAAAATCACGGAAGCCGGTTAATCTTCTATGCTCACTACTAGCTTGTCCAAACTAAGATTGGCAATTCTTCATAAAAAAAAAATGCCAATTACTATTGTCAATGCCTACATGCTACCGCGACGGTTATATAGCTAGCTTATACAGGGTGAAGCTTGGGATGATTAATTACCTTTTCCAGAATTTGGTCCTAAACTTTTCAACAACATCAGCAAGTGGTTTATTTTTCAGCATGTCTCCTAGTTTCTCTGTTACAATCCATTCGTTTACCCTTTCTGCTTCCGTAAGCCCAACATAGACAGCTTTGCATCGGTGCCAAGACATGACATTCTCGAACAAGATCCAAAAGACAGTTAGATGAATGGAGCTGCATGCGGAAAAAATTAAACCAACATTTGAGTGAAGTTAATTAATTGTGAAATAAAATGCGCTTAGCTTTAAATTAAGGAGTCATATTTAGAGTCAAAGTCCCTAGCTAACCTTGGAGTTCCGACTGAATTAAGCAGTGTAATAATTGTTGGAATATATACGACCCCCCACCTAGGGATGTAGATTTCAGGGAAAAATACAGAGAGTGGGATAACCACACAGTAGAAGGAGAAGGTCACGATATGTGATGTAATCCTCCGAGCAATGAAAAAGTTGTATATCAAAAAGAATTTCTTGTTCAGGGGCACTTTCTGCAATATAAAAAGACAATGGAATTTGATAAGAAACTGGCCGGATTCACTTTTTACTGCCTTATTTTTAATTTCCAAGCGGAAGAAACGTACTAACCTTGGCCTTTATAATCTCCAGCACCATTTTCCTAAATAAATTTGCAGGTCCGCAAGACCATCGATGCTGTTGAAAACGGTAAGCCTTGAAAGTACTAGGCAATTCACTTTTAACCTACGAAGGTGCAACTTATTGCGTGAAAATTGTAACTATTTGATGATAAACAAATTGCCTTATATTAATTTCAGTTGCAAATGACATACGAAATATAATCCACAACCGCATGCAAAAATTTTCAACTCAATTCTGATCCACATAACACTCCCCATTAAGAATATTAAGAATGAAAGGTAGTACTACAAAAACGACTGCGCTATGAACTTTAATAAAGAACTTGTGTTGCACCACTCTAGCTTAAATCTCAGAACTAAGAGTATAATGATCAAGGAGATGATGTGTACGATTCCATCGATCAATGATAGTGTGCAAAAGTGTTCGGTTTTTTCACACGCGTAACATCTCCCTACGATAAATTAACTTGGAAGTCAATACCTTGACGTCGCCAACATATACAAATTTCCAGCCGTTAAGGCTAACTCTAACAGCTAAATCCATGTCCTCCACAGTCGTTCTTTCCTTCCACCCTTCAGCTTCGTTAATAGCCGATATTCTCCAAACTCCAGCGGTCCCTACATCAGAATTAGATGTTTTAATATTCCAATTCAAAGTGGTGGGTAGCATATATGTATAATATGGATACTTGTATCTAGCTATATATAGAACGCCGTTCATGTAATTAAGAGTATCCTGACCGCAATTATCGTATATCAGTCCTTAGACACATGGTACTTCATGAAGGTTGATTATAACATTTTTTTATGTTTAGGTAATTTCTTTGACTCTCATATATATGACATTCGTTGCTCTCTCAGATGCTCTCCAATTTACATGATATAATAATATTTATCCAAATGATTGCTATTTTATTTTCCATATTAACGACTGCAACTGAACTATGTATACTATTGTATTCCAAATGAAGATGGATAATATGAACCCGCATGGTCGAGATGCACACTACTTATTTGGGCGTATTTTATGTTTATTAAAGGATTGAGATCATGCTCTTAAGGGAAGATGCATGCATAGTATAAAGATGCAGGCCACAAGGTTAGACACAGATAAAGTCTACACTAGCTTTAAGTGTAAGAAGAGCAAGCATGTATTATATGGTTAACCTTTTTTTTTTTTGAAGAATATTGTATGGTTAACATTGTAACTAATATGAATATATCAGTCAATTTTTTTTTTGTTTTAAATCCGTTATCAGTTTATCTCAGTCACATAATTAAAGAGCATATTATCTATTCTTGCACATGAAAGTCTATAATAGTTATTTATTTTTTTGTACTTAGTGTGTCATGTCATGTGCTATTATTATTACTACTATTATTATTTTTTGTTGCTGAGATATTCATGTACTGTTTTTTTATTATGCATGTGTCCATGCTTCTTAGCAAGTTTTAATTCATGATTTAAGTGTTGTATGTACTTTTTCTATGTAGCTTCTTATTAATTGTGTTACTTAATTAGCTGCCCACTTGATTATTTTCCTAACAGCCTCATTTTCCTTCTAGCCATAGCAAACTCTAGTTTGATCGAACACAAACCAGATCAAGTAATGCTGAAAGCGTGAGCAAAGTATTTTGAGGAAGGGACTGAGAACTCCAAAAGTTTATGTAAGCTGAGATAAGCTGGTTATTTTAAATGAGGTTACCAAACTGTTTCTTGTTAGGAACGATCACTATTCAGTACAACCGTATATGTGTTCATGATCGTATTTAAGAAGTACTTTTCAGCTTTCTTTATTCACTTTTTCTACCATTCTATGTGGAAGGTTTATATAGGAAAACACTAGAGACACACCTTGTGCCACACCTTGGGGCACACCCCTCTCCAGCTATAGTACAGGGGGCTCATTTGAGATTTATTTAATAAATCTCAAGTCAGGAAG